CGCGTTCTGCTTTTCCCTTCTGTTTGCCCACCGGACGGCGTTTTTCCAAGGAACTCTTGAACTTCAGCACGGAGAGCGCGTTGTGGCCTGCGTTCCAAGCTTTTGTGGCTAGGTTTTTCCGAAAGCATTGCGAAGGGTTCTTCCGGAAAATCACTTGAACACGTACACTGCTATACTTACACTTGAACACTTTACACTTCTATACTTACAATGGCGCAGAAGTATCCAAAGTGAAAGTTTGCAAGTGAAAGTACGCAAGTGTAAGTATACCACTTACACTTAGGCTCATCTAGCTTGAACCGGGTGTCTTCCAAATAGCAAGTGGGTGTTTGACTTGGAATAGAACCTTGTTGTCAAGTTTCTTGCTGGCTCCGTTAAAAGCATGTAACACAGCCATGTAGTTTGTTTGGTCCTGCTTGGGAGCAAAGAGCTCTAAGAATGAGGCAACATCCACATGCGCCTGGTACACTCAAGACTGACCTATACATACAGTCATGGAACTTCAAGAATTTAGATTTCTTCGTAGTGGGCAGCCATGCCAGCGTGGAGATATGATGATGATGGAGACGTTACGTGTGAAGAGTCTGCAGAGACCATCTCCTTCCTCACAACCACGAACATAATCCACCGCTTCTGGCGCCACAGCCAAGCACCACTATTTCAAAAGTTTTGCGCCAGAGCTTTCGCTTCAAGATTTTTAACGCACTTGGATGGAGAACGTGGACCTGTTGGAGCTGCAAAAAGAAAGGCTTGACTTTGACCGGGACGTTGCAACTTCAATAGGTCCAACTCGTACTTCACACTATTTGCCAGATCTTTCTCGACCCTCTGCGGAGTCATGTGTTGATGTAGGTCTGTGCGGCCTCGAGGATTGCCTGAGCCAGCTGGAAGCACCATTGGGCTTATATGCTGATTGCTCAATATGCCCAGCTTGGACGTGAAACTTTCTCGGTTTGACATTTGCCTTGTATTGGTGCTCAGGAGCGGAGGCTCAACGATCTTGGATTGGAAGATTATAATTGGAGCAGTCGGATGCAAACACCTGAAGCTTGTAGGTGCAATGTGCGCCCGAAGCTTCAGTGCCTTGCGCTCGGCCAAGCTCGATCAATGGGGCCTTGCAGGAATGAATGAGTTGGAGACGGAAAACCCGTCACAATTTTGCCAGCCAAATTGATTTGGCCGGGAAAACCCGTCACGTTTCAGACCGGGGCCCCAGCCCCAAAATGTAATGGGTTTTTTGAAAAAACCCGTCGCAATTAAATAAGGAAAACGAAAACCCGTCAAACTTCCCAGCTCATCCCCAACTTCAAAAAGTGATGGGTTTTTCCAAAACCTATGGAATTGTGATGGGTTTTTTAAAAAACCCATCGCTTTTCTGGGGCCAGCCGAGCTTCCAGATTGTGATGGGTTTTGCTGAGCAAAACCACTCAGCCAAATGGATTTGGCCACCAAAAATGCGATGGGTTTTTAAAAACCCGTCGCAATTTGACCAGCCAAATCCATTTGGCCGGGAAAACCCATCACAGTTTGACTAGCCAAATCCATTTGGCCAGGAAAACCCGTCAAAATATAGCCAGCCAAATCTTTTTGGCCAGGAAAACCTCGAACACTTGGTATACCTAGAGGGTCCATCCGCTTTGCACTTGGAGTAATGAGGTGTTGCAAAACCTGTTTGGCATAAAGGACTTGTCACGATTTTACTGTTAAATTGTGTTGGTTCAGTAAGGACACCTCAGTTTCCAACAAAGACCAAAGCAGAAGGGCCGATGCGTTGAGCTGGGTGCGCTTAACCTTGGTAGGCTATTTGACTGCCAGCTAGCTGGCAGCCGGTGTGCCCGTTTACTGGCAGCCACAACCTGTTTGAGTTTGTGGTGTGTGCTTCTTGAAGCTTTAAGCTTCTGGAGGGCCTTAGGACGAGGTGAGAGTTGTTCGAGTAAAACGGTCGCGTCCGTTGAAGGTTGCCTTGAAGCTTCGTGATTCTTAGAGCCGCGGCTTGTTGAGGCGATGTGGTAGCGGGGGGACAATATCGCGTCACATGGACGATCAAAGTGAAAAATAGCATAAGCAAAGATTCAACCTTTTGACCTGCTGGCTTGGTTGCAATGTGCGCATGGAGCCTGGTAATTGAACTTGGTGCTATTTGCTATCATTATGGTTTTGAATGGGATGCCACGTGATGCGTGCAAGTGCTGATTGTTTGCAAATTGCAGCAAATTCTGCGAGTCCGTGGAAAAAGCTGCCAGCATGCGCTTTGGAGTTTACCGGACGGGTAGAAATTTGGACACCCACTCGCTATTTGGAGGACACCCGGTTCAGGCTAGATGAGCCTACTTGAACACTTACACTTCTATACTTACAATGGTACAGAAGTATCCAAGTGAAAGTATGCAAGTGTAAGTATCCCAGTGTAAGAGTGAAAGCATCCAAGTGCAAGTATGCAAGTGTAAGTATCCCAGTGCAAGTATGCAAGTGTAAGTCTCCCAGTGTAAGCACGCAAGTGTAAGTATGCAAGTGTGAGTATTGCGAGTATGAAAACTTTCACGGGAGATATCCTAATGAAAAACATTCCCCCAATTTACTAATTCTCTTTAAAGGCGGAGGGTGGGGCGAACAGCGTCAACCGAAAATGCAACCCTCTGCGGAGATCGTGCGCGTCGAGCGCGCGAAATGCAGAGAGCGCGATTTGTCCTGGCCGCGCGCAACCCTCTGCAGAGATCGCGCGTGTCGAGTGCGCGAAACGCAGGCGAGAGCTCGTGCGATTTGTCCCATGCGCGCGCAACCCTCTGCGGAGATCGCGCGTGTCGAGCTCGCGAAACGCAGGCGAGATTGCGATTTGTTCGGCGCCCGCGCAACCCTCTGCGGAGATCGTGCGTGTCGAGCGCGCGAAATGCAAGCGAGAGTGCGATTTGTCCGGTTCCGGCGCAACCCTCTGCGGAGATCGCGCGTGTCGAGCGCGCGAAATGCAGGCGAGAGTGCGATTTGTCTGGTTCCGG